TGACTCATCTCTTCTTCCACAGCCTCTCCCTGTGTATCTGGGCCTGTCCCCCCCTCTGCTATGAGCTGAGGTAGGGCAAGTGCCAGGACACTCTCCTTGCGGCACTGATCCTCCACGAGGGAGTCAGACAATGAGGGCTTCGTTCATAGCTAGTCCACAAACCCAGGCCATGAGAGCTGAGTGGAGGATAGAGGTCTGGCTCTGGCTGGAGGTAGGGGGTGGGGGTGCTTCCTGGGAAAGTAGCTGCAGGCCATCTGGAAGGAAAGATTTTCTGAGCAGATGGTCAGAGGTGAGGGTTGTGGGGACCCATGGAGGACAACGGCCTCCATTGGTCAGGAGTACTCAGACTCACACTGTGGAGCCAGGGATTTTAGACCCACCTCATTGATGAGGATGGCTAGGATGAGTTAGATTCTGAATACACTAGGCCTAACCCAGGCCACTTCCTTAGCTGGCTCCTCTGTCATTTGGCTGGCTTCACACAGGGCCCCACATGCTTCCCTCCTCATCCCTGAACCCCACCTAACCCAAACGCCTGTCTACTTAGGATTGTATGAGGAGTAGTAGTGGGAGCCATGGTCATCAAGCCAGATAGACTGCACATTTCAGACGGAGGAGCTGTGTCCCATGGTCCTGGGGGCTGGGTTGAGAAAGGGCCTTGGAAAGATGGACCAGGAACAATGAACCAGATCCCCAGAGGACAAACATGGGCTGGCTAAGGGTGAATGGCCTGGCTTCTGGGGCCACAGGTGGAGGGAGGTTATATACAGAAGGTGGGAGTCTCTGACCTTAGGTATCTGGGGGATCAGGCTTGCCATTCTGAGAAGGTGGGTATGGCTCCAGAACTTGGGAGAATTTTCCTTTATTGTCTAGAGTCCCCAGCCCCAGCATTTAAAGCAAGAAAATGAAGGATCAAAACTGGCCTGCTGACTAGGGTAAAGTCTAATAACTGAGCTGTCATTTACACCTGCTGGGAGAGGGAAAATCAGTTTCTCTGAAGGAGTGGCACTGGGTAGATCCACCACTCCAGGGCAGGCCTCACGTTCAGGAGTAGTTGACATAGAATGGACTCCACAGTTCTTTTGTGGTATGTGCTTTTATTTGGTTACAGTTGGTGGGGTTCCCTCCCTTTCTTTTTTCTTTTTGGGTGGTGTTTTACTTTGTTTTCTTGGTTGTATTAAGTTTTTGTTTTTTGAGAAAGAACATAAAGTCAGGTGGGTAGGGATGGGGAGAGACTTCGGAAGAACTTGGGGGAGGGTAGGAATATGATCAGAATATATTTAAAGTTAAAAATTGTTTTAAATAACAAAAAAAAGAAAAAAAAGAAAGAAAAGATTGGAGGGGCTGGAGAGATGGTTTAGTGATTAAGGGTACTTGTTGCTTTTACAGAGGACCTGTGTTCAATTCCCAGCACCCACATGGTGGTTTTCAACTTTCCATAACTCCCAGGTACTCATATGATGCACATTCTTTTTTGGTTTTGGCTTGTTTTTTGTTTTTTGGTTTTTTGAGACAGGGTTTCTCTGTGTAGCTTTGCGCCTTCCCTGGATCTCGCTCTGTAGAACCAGGCTGGCCTCGAACTCACAGAGATCCGCCTGCCTCTGCCTCCCGAGTGCTGGGATTAAAGGCGTGCGCCACCACGACCCGCCACACATTCTTATAAAATAAACATTTTTAAAAATTGGCCTTGAGGGTTGGGGAGATGGCTCAGTTGGTAAAGTGCCTGCCACACCTGTGTGAGGTTAGAGGCCAAGGACACACCTAAAACAGCTGGGCGTGGTGAGACGTGCTTGTAATCCCAGCGCCTAGGAGGTGAACACAGGTGAATCCCTGGGGCTCCATATCCCGTCAGCCTCGTGAAACAGCAAGCCCCTGTGATGCACCCTGCGTCCAAGAACCTGGCAGATGTCCCCTGAGAACAGCATTTGAGGCTGCCCTCTGGCCTCCGTGTGCATTTGCACACACACACACACACATACACACACACACACACACACACACACACACACACACACACACACACACACGGCAGAATTAACAGACCTGGAGCCCAGAGCAGGCATGTCCTTCCAGGGCTGCGATCTCAGTACACGCCTTGCAGTCCCCCTGTCTCCCACACACTTGATCCAGTGGGTGGCTGGATGTGGGCAGAGGTAGACCCTACTTCTCATTAGAAGACTGGGCAGGCACTCTGCCATCTCCTGCTAGGCCAAGAACTTGCTCCCTATGGAGGGTGCCTTGAACTGCACCTTAGTCCCCTGTCCTCAGGGGCAGGACTCTTGGGTGCTGAGAGGCTTTGAATTTCTTCTCCCTGGAAACAGGTCCCATGCCCATGCTTGGAGAGTAGGGCAGTCTCAGGAGCAGGAGGCTGTGTTCTGTGGATAATTAAGGAGTATTCTTTTTTTCTATCCAGCCTGTTTTTCCTCAGTTTAAATGAGAAGCTGGGGCTGGTCCTTCCAACCCTGGTTTCTATGTAGCTGCCCTCAACTGGCCCCCATTCCCATGGGGTGATCCTAGCTCTAGGCTGGATGCCTGGAGAGACTACCAGGGTCCACGGGGCAATGATGGGCCTGAGCAGCAGGGCTAGGCCAGGAGGGGTGGTGGCCGTCTCCCCTGGCCTGGCTGCCAGGAAGTTGCACAAGAGGAATGTTTATTTTTGGTGAGCTGGGTGGGATTTCTTTCCTTAAAAAAATAAAATAAAAAAAAAAAAACCCAAAACGTAAAACTTATTTGTCTGCCAGGAAGATAAATATCTTTGCTGGAAGCTCTTGGCCCAGCTGCCAGCTGCAATTCACACAAGGCTGTCACCGAAGCCACGGCCCACTGTGTAAGCTGGGCTCACATGGCTGTCATTTGTGACGCCTCCGGGTGGGTCAGCCACCCCTGTGGCATTGACGCTGTGAGTGGCCCTTCAGGGGCTGCTTTCAGGCCTACTCTGGGCTCTCCCTTCTCCTTCCTTCCTTCAGCGCCACAGAGTTGGAGGGAGACTGACAGAAGCAGAAAGTCCCTCTTGCCTTCCCTAATGCTCACAGGGAGGCTGGTAAACCTGAAATGTCAGTCCCCCATCCCCAGTCTGGATGGCATCAGAAGATCAAGGCTAGATGCATCATTCTGATCCAAAATGCAAATGGCATAACCTGTTTCCAGAAGAAGAAACAGAAGGTCAGAATGGGTGGTGCTTGTTGTAAATGGACAGAACTTAAGTGTATTGAAGGATTTCCCACAATCTCCCTCCACATTTCATTGAACTCTCTCAATGAACCTGTCTCCTACTCTCTGAGTCTCAGATAAGGAATATGGCCAAAAAGGGGCTCCCCCCATCTGGAGACTGTAGCAGGAATCTTAAAAGTTCTTATTAATAAAATCAAACCTGAGGCCAGTTATTGGGGTGAATGCTGGAAGATCAGAGAGACAGAACAAGCCACAGCTAACCTCACCTTGCCAGTTCCTCAGCTGATCCTGTTTCCTCAGACTGGAAGCCTCTGTGTCCTCATCCGAATGGGTCTCAGCTGAACTGCTGCTGAAAAGCCTAAAAGCTTAACCAGCCAAATGCTTCTAGTTTCTGGTCTTCATGCTTTATATACCTTTCTGCGTTCTTCCACCACTCACTGGGATTAAAGGCTCGCTTTCTGAGATTAAAGGTGTAAATCACCACACCTGGCTGTTTCCAATGTGGCCTTGAACTCACAGAGATCCAGAGGAATTTCTGCCTCTGGAATGCTAGCATTAAAGGCGTGTGCTACCACTGCCTATCCTCTATGTTTAATATTGTGGCTGTCCTGTTCTCTGGCCCCAGATAAGTTTATTAGGGTGCACAATATTTTGGGGAACACAATACCACCACAGGAGACATGCCTTGATTCCCATTCCATAATGCTTTTATACACGTGCCTGCACCCCGGGGACTTTTCCCATGGAGGACTTGTCTTGGGTCATATTCCTCTAGTGCTGGCAGGGCCTATAAGCCTGCAAGGCCAGACCAGAAGTAGGAGCCAGTAATGGTGGAGTGTCTCTCCCTTTCTCACAAGCCATAAGGAATATCCCATGGGCCTCTTCATTCACCCACAAGTTACAAAGGGGGAAACTGAGCCACAAAGGGGTCCATTAGGAACATGGAGCTATAGAGCCAGACACACCCTGGTGCCGGGCTCTGGAGCCCAGGCTCTGAACCCTCTGCCATATTGAGGCAACTGTGTCTGCCCACATGGATGGATGGGGCCAGCAGCTCCCACCCTCCTAACCTGGTCTCCACCTCCCCACTCTTGACCTGCATGGTTTGATTTGGTTCCTTGTAGCCCTGAGCTTCCAGGAATCTACCATGGGGGTCCCATTCTGTCAGCAGGTAGCAGTAAGGGCCTAGTCTGTGAACTGTGATTGCAGTGATTCCTTGTGGCCCCAAAGAGGGGATCCTCAGAGGTGAGGGCCTGGACAGCTGTGGTAGACAGTGGCAGCTGCTGCTAGTGAAAGGAACCCCAGCAAGCACCTATGCCTCAGTGAAACCCATCTACTAAAAGCTCCTCTGTGGGCAGTGAGACCAGTGTTGCCAGTGGAGTGGGAGGCGAGGGCTGGGTCTCTCAACACTTAAGTCTTGAGACAGTCTTCAAGGCTTCTCTGCAATGCTGGTCTTTCTCCCACCACGTCCAGTGTGGTTGAACGAGATCTCTGCTCCCTCAGGGAGCCTCAGTACTATGTCAGGTAGTCCCTGGGTCCATGCCCCCAAGAGACAGTGGCTGTCAGGCAGGAGTCTCACAGCCACAGAGTGTGGAGAAAGTCACAAAGCTCAGACCGGCAAACCCAGAGCTACACGCCATTGGTGCCAGAAAAGACCCACTGAAGAATGATACCACAGAGTGAGAGAGGGGAGGGACTTGCCTAGAGTCACCCAGCGTGTTGATGAGAAGCTGGGACATGAAATTCGACTCTCCTGACCTGGTACTCCGTGTGTGCCTCTGTTAGGGGAACGTGTTCTCCCTCGTCTGACCTTCTTTTCTCTCCCTCAGCCAAAGAGAGCAACCTGGGTGAGCCAGAGTTGCCCCCCGACTCGGAACCCGTGGGCATGGACAACAGCTACCTCAGTGTGAAGGAGACAGGGACCAAGGGGCCCCAGGACCGGGCAAGTGCTGACATCCCAAGCCCCCTGGAGAAGACCGACTCGGAGAGCAACAAAGGCAAGAAGCGGCGGAACCGTACCACCTTCACCAGTTACCAGCTGGAGGAGCTGGAGAAAGTCTTCCAGAAGACACACTACCCTGATGTGTATGCGCGCGAGCAACTGGCTATGAGGACCGATCTCACCGAGGCCCGTGTGCAGGTCAGCCAGAGTGACAGACAGGGGACCCACAGGGCCTTCTAGGCCTTGAGCTCCAGCTGCAACTGGGATCTACTGACTACTGTGGGCTATGCCAGGTTTTCCTCATCCCAGGAGGGCGTGACAAGCCAAGAGGGGGTCTGACTACCCCAGTGCCTCTTCCCCAGTCATAATAGATCTGCTCAGCCACTATATTCAGCTCTGCAGCGTTGGGGCAGGAGAGAGAGAGAGACCCTGTGGAGGAAGGGGAAGGCTGCTACCTGTGAGTCCATGCCTTAACCTAAGGACAAGATGGCAGGTCTCTTCTGGGAGGCCCATTTCTCAGACTGGAGATGAACAAGGCACAGACATTCCCAGCCCCATAGTAGAAGCAGGGAATGCTACAGCCCCATGCCTGTCTAGGATAGCTGCCTCCTACACCCTTCAGGACCCAATCAACATGCCTCCTCTGAGAAGACTCCTGACCATCATGGCCAATATGATGCCCTACCACTGCTACTACCCAAACCCAATTCAACCCAACTCAGCCCAGCACACCTAACACAGCCCAGTAGAACCAACTCAGTGCAGTACAACCCACCATACACAGATCAGTCCAATCCAGGACAACACAACTCAATACAATATGGCCCAGTCACTGCATAGCACAACCCAGTGCAAAGGAGCACAGAGTAGTACAATCTACCTCAAAACAGTACAACTCACCACACAAGTTCAGTTCAACCCAGATCAATACGACACAGCCCAGAACAAGCTAATTCAACGTGGTGCAGTTCAACACACAGTTTAACCCAGTACAACCCAACCCAACAACACACTACAACCCAATAAAAACCAGCACAACAATACAACATAGCCCAGGACAACCCACTCAGCACAGCACAACTCACCACACACATCTCAGTTAAACTCAGTGCAACCCAACCCAGTGCAACACAACACAGCACAGTCTAATGTAACATAGCGCATCGTGTACAGCTCAGCTCAACCCAACGCAACATGGCCCAAATAATACAGCCCAACATAACCCCAGCCAACCCAACACAGCCCAGTACAACCCAACTCAAGACAGTGTAACTCACAATGCACAGCTCAGTTCAACCTAGCACAACTCAACCCAACCCAAAACATCACACCCCAACCCTCTCCAATCCAATATTACTCAGCCAACCCAATACAACCCAGCTCAGCACATACAGCCCAGTTCAACACAGTTCAGCACAACAAAATTGAACCCAATGCAACACAGTACCAGACAACGAACTCAACTCAATTCATCAAACACAGTTCCAGTCAGCCCAAACAAACCCAGTCGAGCTCAGTGTGCCAATTCAGTCCTGATCAACCTGGCTCGACTTGGCTAAACACCACAAAACACTACATAGCCCTTTACAACTCAATCCAGCTCAACACAGCCAAAGCAGATCACTTTCTTCCACTCGTCCTGCTTCCTCTTCTGAATAGACTTTACGACTGGTCACAGTATTCTCTTGCCCCTGAAATGAGAGATCCTTGATTATCCATCCACCTGTGCTGCTTTTGAGAGAGGGTCACATGTAGCTCAGGCTGGCCCCTATCCTACTATGTAACCACAGCTGGCCTGGAATTACCGGCCTTCTTGTCTTGTCTTTCCTGCCCTGCGATTATAGGCTCAGGCCACACCTATTCACTTCTGTGTGCCCACCAGTTAGATCAGGCTGGATGCTGAGCAGCAAAGGCAGCAAGGATGGGTAGCCTAGCAGCCCTGCTTTGCCCAGAGGGTGTGCCCATCTGCAGGAAATCATAGCAAAGGAAATGGAAGCCCAATATGCCAAATCACATGTGAAGAAGCCCACACACTAACGTTCAAGCCTCAGTTTAATATGAAATCAACTCCATAGTCAGGTTGCTTTCCCATTCAAGGCATGGCAAGGATGGAGCGTGAGGGTTCCTATCCAGCAGGCAGGAACCTGGCGCTTGTGAGTAGAGAGGGTTCTTCCTTCTTTTTTTTTAACATATATTTTGGTGTGTGTGTCTGTGTGTATGTTATATGTGTATGTTCATGTGTGTTTGCAAGGGGGAAAGATAAACATACATGTATGTGTGTATGTTCATGTGTGTTTGTAAGTGGGAGAAGATACATGTACGTGTGTGTGTGTGTGTGTGTGTGTGTGTGTGTGTGTGTGTGTGTGTGTGTAGGCCAGAGGTCGACATTAGGTGTCTTCCTCAATTGCTCCTGATCTTATTTTTTAGGAAATGTCTTTTTTCCTCCGCATCCTGAGCTTGCCAATTTGGCTAGACTAGGTAGCCACTGAGCCTCCTGTCTGTTCTACTTGCCAGCATTGGAGGATACAAGTGCACACCTCCATTCTGACTCTTTTAAGTGGGTTCTAGGGATCTGAACTCAGGACCTCTTGCTTCCATGACAAGTATTTTACAGACCGAACCATCTCAACAGTCCCAAGAGAGTGTTTCTTTTTAATGGGCACAGCCCTATGGTCTGGGCCCTGAGGAGTTAGAACAGAGTCCTGTGATCATGGGCAGATTCATGGACATTGTAGCTTTTTATTCTGCTGGTGGTTCTGAGGCATCAGGTGAGTGTCCATCAGATTCACCAAGTCCTGTTTAACACACTGGGGCACGCTGCAGTCTCGTGGTTTAATGAAGAACCGCAGAGCAGCGTGGCTTTACTGCTATGCCAGAGCTATCTCATGCCCCATGAGACCACCTGCCTGAGATCTGAGCTCACAGAGGACCCCCGAATCCAGCCTTAGCTCCAGCCCAGGATTGGGGGCAGGGCAGGAGGGGTAGAGGAAGGGGTAGTTGGTTGCAAACCCACAGTGCCAGTAAGTAGCATGTTGGCATAGGGTAAACCTGCTTGCTTTCTGCTTCTCTGTGTGTACCTGTGTGCATGTGAGCACCACATGCACACTTCTCCAATGAATTCGAGTGTCCAGAGCAGAGTTCAAGTATCATTCAGCAGGAAGCAGAAAATGATACAGAACAAGTGTTTCTGGGTCACTGCTAGGACTTTGCTTTGTTGACACACACAGACATACTCAAGCCTACTTCCAAAATGTTGAGAAAATTGACAATTAGAGATTTATTTTAGTTTAAGATCAGGAACAGTGTCAAGAAATGAGGTGATTGTGTTAAAACAAACAAACAAAAAACGCCACCAGGATAAGGTTCATTATTGTCCGAATTCAGCCTCAAGCTTTCTGTCAGCCAAGGTAGAAAAGAAAACCTTAATCTATTGTCAATCAATTATTACAGATTATACAACTATATTATAGATATGTTACAAATACAGATATACAAATATACAGATATATTACAGATTATACATTATCGAATGTATTCCTATCAAATAGGAAGGTTACAGAATTACAGAATGGTAGTGCAGAAAAGATCCCATCATCTTTTGATGAGGAGGAATGACCGAGATGAGGGAAGGGATTGTCCAGCGTGGACAGCGATGCTGAAGCGGGGCTGAGCCTGGAATCCAGGACTCCCCAGCTCCAGGCCGGTGCTCTTTGACTTCAGCTTGCCGTTCCCAGCACATGCCAGATTGTTTTCAGTCTTCTCTCTGTACAAAAGCAGCAGGGTGGGTGGGATCTCCATGTGCGTCAAACCTCTGGGTTGAGCTCTGAGCCTGGCAGTGCCCTGGGGGTGGGGATGAGCAGTGCAGGGGTGTACTAGAACTGTAGTAGAACGGTTTTGCCTGTCTCTGTGGAGTTTGCTCAGGACCCACACTCTGCTGGTGGCAAGCCAGGTGCCTGGTGTACAGTGATGGCAGGGACAAGGAGGGGGCCATGAGGGGGGTCCCAAGATGGTCCTTCATGGGAAGCAGCCTGGGGTCTGGCCCTGCTCCAGGGAACTTCAGGGCCTCTCTCTGCTGTCTGGGATTCCAATCTCCACAGCTGGTGTCTGAAGACAATGAGACGGAGGCCTCCCCGCCCTGGGCCACCCCGCCCTGGCCCCAGATGGGCTGCGGTTAGAGAGGCCTCCTTCAAGACAGTTGGTTCCTTGAACGGCCTGGTCCTCCGGAGAGGCCTGTGCTGAGTGGGCCAGGCCCGGGTGGCCCTGGAAACGGGGTGGTCCTGGGCACGACATGCAGAATGGAAGTACAGTGGGGACCTCGGTGAGCTCTCCTCCCGGGGGTTGTAGAGACAAGCCTGTGGTTGCACAGCCCTGAGGCACAGAGGCACAGCTGGGGGTCAGAAATGAGAGGACACTTGGAGTCTCTGCATAAGGACATGGATTGGAGCACAGAGGGACCACCAGGTACCATGCGACCTCCTAGGATGGGAGGACATTGAAGGTCAGCCAGGCTAACAGCTTCAGCTGACTGGGGGACAGGAACTTAAGGCAGAACTTAAGCTCAGGCCTCAGGCCTAGGAAAGGATAGGAAAGGGACAAAGGACTGTCCTGAAAAGGAGGTCCCAGGCAGGCCAGCTGTTCTGAGTTGCTCCACTCTGCCCCCACCTCCATCAAATAAATCTTACCATGACCTTTTTCTACTCCCTCCCCCAAAGAGTGTTCTTGACTGCCTCTACCCAGATAATGGGGCTCCCCACCTCCTTCAAGCGCTATATTCTATCCCTCACTCCACTCCTTCCCTCAATTCCAGGTCTGTTTGCCAGACACCATCTTATGCTCTGATCCCTCCCAGCCTTCCTGGGTCCTCAGTTTCATAGCCCCCAGTGACATCACCGACCTCTATATCCCCACCACAGAAGGGACCTGGAACCCACAGACACAAAACCTCAACAGCAGCAGCAGGGCAGCTTCTCTTGTCGCTGCCCCACCCCCAAAGAGAGGAAGGAATAGAGCTGTATATTTTGGTGCCTCTAGTGCCCCCCCTCCCCAGAAAACCCTGGGAGGCTGAGGATGGAGCGGAAGGCTGAGCTCAGTCTGCAGGAAATTAAACATGAAATGAAAACAACCTTCCCTGATTGATTCCTCCATCCCACCCCCAGCCCCCACCGCAGCCGCTGATAAAGGGGGATCCCATTTCACCATGCAGAAGAGCCCTCATGTGCTCTTTTCTCCCAGTGGGCATCCTGGGTCTGCACCCCAGAGTAAAAGTACCCCTCCCTCAGGGTCTGGGGCAGGGACTGAGACCCTAAGCCTTGGAGAGGGCTGCTCTCCAGGGAGGTCACAGGAAGGACACTCGATGTGTATATATGTATGTGCACATATGTGTGTGCACACACACATGACCAGATAGATACGTTTGTGTGTACATGTGTGTGTATGTCAGATTAGGAATGGAGAGGAAGTGCATCTCATCTCCCGACCCAATACTAAGGGGACACACAGCCCGCAGATTTTGACCACTTTGCTTCAGCGAGAGAATGAGGTCAGGAGCCATAAACAAACAACTTGAGTGCTCTAGAAACTTCACGCTGTGTCCCATCTGTTGTCCCCACCAGTCACCACCTCTACCAGGACATCAGCCCAGACCTCGGCCCCATTTTGAGGATGTAGAAATTGAGGCTCTTGGTAGTGCATGCGCTGCCACAGGCCCTTCTTTTCCAAGATACTCCAGAAGCTCCACAGGCCTTAGCCTCTGTCGTGGTTCTTGAGGAGTCTGAGTGCTCACAGGCAGGACGGTGGGGAGGCTGCTCTGGTCTCCATCCCAGAAGCACAGCTAGAAGCCTTGGCTAGGGAAGCCTCTGCCCTGCCTGTCCATATCATCTTTCTCACGGTCTGGGCCCAAAGTGAGCAGCCTGGGTGCAGACCACAGTGGCCCAGACTTGTCCGACCATTTGCCAATGCAATAGGACACTGTCATAAACAAAGCTCGCGATTGAGAACCATGCAATTGAGTTACAAATACCAATATATTTTTAAAAGTGTTTTAAGCAAGTTTACACTTCTGCACTGGGCTGTGTTCATAGCTGTCTTGGGGTGCATGTGGCCTGCAGACCACAGACCGAGCACACATTGCTGAGCTGTGCCTGTGTGTATTGGAATCTACAGAGCCCGCTGGAGGGTGCAGAGGAAGCCGCTGCTGTCACTCTCTGAGGAGCAATTAGCCTGCCCTCTTCTCACTGTTCTCCTCTCCCGCCCTCTCTGGCCATACCCTCCACTCTGCCCCTAACCAGGAAAGGCCTCTAGAGGAGCAGCCTGCCCTTTTCCTTGTCTTTGTGTCTTGGGTAGTTCTCAGCCACCCCACCAGAGTCTCTACACTTACCTCTGACTCAGAGACCTCTCTCCTGGCTGTGCGCTTGGTCAAGTCAATGGCCCAGCATCCATGTCTCAGAGAGAGGTACCACCTGGCCAGCGTCAGTCAACCTGTCTAGGATATTCAGCGGTTACCCTAACTAACCCCTCGCTAAGGGCAGCCCCCTCCCAGCTGGTGTATGCAGCCCTCCACCATCTAGATCCTGTCTCCACACATCTTTTCCTGACGGCTCTCTCTCCAGAAGGCCTCACCCACCATCACTTCAGGAAAGTTCTGAGCAGACTTGGTTTCTCTCAAAATGATGCAGGGACGTGTGTATTCTGGATTTGCATCTTTAGACAAGTCCTAGAGGGTCACGGGCCTTCAGGACTATTTGAGACTGGCTAAGGGAAGAAATTTCTAGAAAGGTCTTCATAGCTTGATGGAATTCTTCCTGGGGTCTGTGACCTTCTGCAGATTATACACAGTGCTGGGAAAACAGATAACCCATGGCTTGCACTCATTCTGTCTCCTCACTTATGTGTGCATGCCTGTGTGCCTGGTGTGTGTGTGTGTGTGTGTGTGTGTGTGTGTGTGTGTGTGTGTGTTTGTAGCTTGAGCAGTTAGGCCCCAAATCACACTTATGGTCAGTGCAGCGTACACAACCTTCCCAGTGCTGACAGTTCTATATGATTGACAGGTGGACGCTGACTCTTTCTCTGTGCCCCTAACACACACCCCTGGCTGGTGGAGTTAGGGAGCAATGCTCCCTGCCTGTGAGCAAGGCCTGAGCCCTGTGACCACCCCTTTGTCCTGTAGGTTTGGTTCCAGAACCGGAGGGCCAAGTGGCGGAAGAGGGAGCGCTTTGGGCAGATGCAGCAGGTCCGGACCCATTTCTCCACGGCCTATGAGCTGCCTCTCCTCACTCGAGCGGAGAACTATGCCCAGGTAAGTCCTCCTGCCCAGCTGTCCCCTCTGACCCTAGACCCCCGCACTGATGGTGCAGGGAGGAGGAGGGCGGGGCTCAGAGACCCCAGGTCCCTGTTTGTCCCCGACTATGGGAGACCTAGAATGTTGGGACAGTGTTGCACCCAGCAAACAGAAGATCAGGTGCTTCCAGAGTGTTGGCTGTCACTCAGGGTACCCTAAGGAAGGCTGTTCTGAGATCTCGAGGGCTTGTGGCCAGGTTGGAATGCACGTGGAAATCTGGGCCCATGACAAAGCTTCCTCGGTCTTAGTCTTGCTCCCGTTGTGAGTGTCTCCAACTCTCTGAGGCCCAGCTTCTCTGCTTATGAATTGGATATGATATGTGTCCACTTCAGCTCTTCTGTAGCACTGTTGTAAGGTCTAGGGTCATGGTTCCTGGAAAGCAGCATGCATGGGCTTGATATTCGGACATCTGCCCGCTGTCCCCCTTCCTTTCTCCAGCAACTTCCTGTCTGTCCATCAGCCAGAACAAGGAGTATTGTGAGTGATGTCAGGCACCCAGGGCTCCTGGACAGATGTCCTCTCGGCTGAGTGCACCCGTGACACCTCTCTCATGACCTCCCTCTGCCCCTGCCCCTCCTCACCTATTACGTCTCCTTCCTGTTCGCACTCTGTCTCCTGTTCTAAGTCTTGGGACTCCAGCAGCCAATAGCACCACTGTTCCCGTGTGCCTGGGTATAGTGCTGTCAAACAACCTCTCTCCATCCCAGCCTGACCTGGGCCGGCTCTGTACCTCCTCCTGCTCCCCCAGGATTTGAGGGTCAGAGGGCAGCCCTAGAGGTGAGGCTCAGGAATGTGGGTGTCTAGCATATCAGCTTCACCTCTGGTCACATTCCTTAATGCTTTTCTTCCCCTTTCCCTCTGGCCTCCCAGTGCCGACCTCCAACTCTCACTCTTTGCCCTTGGTGGCCGCCATCTGAGCTCAGAGCTTGAGGGAAGAAACCAACAAGAGACCCTGCCTGTCCCTGCCACCTGCCCCATAGACTCCAGGTGCTAGACCATTTCCGAGAGGGGTGGCGGCCAAATTGTCCCCTCTCTGGGGCACGCTGGGGCCAGGAACAGGACATGGTCAGTCTGTAGGCAGTTCTTGGGACCATTAGAAGTTTCTGTGGACCTTGAGGACCCAGTGCCTACCTGGTGCTTTTAAAGGCCTCCTTGAGTCCTTCCCAAACCCTTGCGGGTGGGCAGGCCAGGAGACACCTGTCTGAAATAACTGAGAGCCTAGAGTTACAGGTTAGAGGAGCATAGTCCTCTCTTCAAAGAGGACCTCTGCACCCCAGACTTACTTCCTCAGAGATGCTTAGAGGCCAGAGGAAGGTGAGGCCAGAAGTGGGGGGTGAGGTGGGAAGAGAGAAGGAATGATAGTCATTTCAATGGAAAATGTGTAGTTGAGCCCCACCTGGGGGCTGGGGCCACTTTTTCATTGCTGGGATAGTTGGGAAACCTCAAGGGTTCTTGGAGTCTTAGGCATTGACCTGGGCCTATGGGAGCACTCATATGCCTGCTCCCCACAATGTTACCCACATCACCCCAACCTACAAGCCCAGAGCCTGAGTCCCCTACAAGATGCTCTCAGGTTGATCCAAGGTAATGCTTTTACTGGACTTGGAAATTCAGTCCTTGCTATTGAATGTTGAGTATGGATCTGCTCTGGGAATTGAAAGTCTAAAACATAAATTCACCTCCAGCTCCCTGGGTGCTCTTCATGTTAGACACCTAAGAAGGGTTTCATTGTAATGATGAGCAGGTGAAAAGGGTAAGCGCCCCTTCTATACCACTGCCCTCCGAGCTGGCCTGTGACATCTCTCCCTTCACTGTCCCCAGATTCAGAATCCGTCCTGGATTGGCAACAATGGGGCTGCCTCTCCCGTGCCAGCCTGTGTGGTCCCCTGTGACCCAGTGCCTGCCTGCATGTCCCCTCATGCTCACCCTCCTGGCTCTGGAGCCAGCAGCGTCTCCGACTTCTTGAGTGTCTCCGGGGCTGGCAGTCACGTGGGCCAGACACACATGGGCAGCCTGTTTGGAGCAGCTGGCCTCAGTCCGAGCCTCAATGGCTATGAGATGAACGGCGAGCCAGACCGCAAGACCTCGAGCATCGCTGCACTGCGCATGAAGGCCAAGGAACACAGTGCGGCCATCTCTTGGGCCACATGACAGGGCCCCTCCTGCCAGTCCTGATGCCGTGCTCTTCCCTGGGGTCTTGGCCACGTCCCTGCTTCCCAGGCCCCAAACTTCCCACTTGACTCTCCTCTTAGGAACCCGGCCTGGCCCAGGGGCCTGGCCCTCAGCACTTTCAGTCACCCCAAGTCTGAGGCCCCAGGGACTGCTGGGAGGAAGGGGGTGGCAGGCCCTTGTCCCTCCCTAGCACTGAGGCCTTGAGCCCTGCTCCCTGCCAAAGGCAGTGGAGAAAGCCAGGTGGCTCTGTGTGTAGCTTTGCATCATGTAAGCTGAGGCCCTCTCTCTTCGTGTTCCTTCACCCTTCCATTTGACTTGAGTCAAAGTTAGGCTCCCCTCCAGACCTAACAGCAGTCCAGCCTTGTCCAGCCGTCCTTTCTTCTGTGTGGTCCCCTGGTCACTCGGCCTATGGCTGTGTGTCTTAAGTAACAAGCTGCCTTCCAGAATCAGCTCCTGACCCCTTCTGCCCTTCCCCCCGACAAAAGCACATGGAACCCCACCTTCTTTATCCAAGGCATCCGATCATCTGCCCATCCAAGGGACCTTGTGGCTGTGGCTTGACTGTCCCCTGTGATGGATGTACCTGGGGAAAGTGGGAGGTGAGATGAGGGGACAGAACTGGAGGATGCTGTTGCTGTCCACCCATAAGGATGACCAAGCTCCAAGGAGATGTGGGCCAGCCTTTGATCCTGAAACTGGTTCTGGTTGACACTGTGGGGGTGGGGTGCCATGTGTGAAGGGAGGCAAGGACACAGATGCCCCGCCACCACCACTACTACCACCACACATGACCATCAGGAGCCAGAGAAGCTCTCAGAATGACCGCAAGGAGGATCCAGTGGGCTGAACCTGGGTACCACCTGGCATCTTCTGCAGTGGGGAGGTCCCTTGGTCAGCACTGGAGCCTCCTCGGGGCCCCTCTGGTCACTCATTGGGGCTGCTGAGCAGTGTCCTGGTCTGGAAGAATTTAAACTTTGGAAGACATAAGCTAGAGCACAGGGCCATGGCTCTGGAACAGAGGACATGTGACCAGCTCAGCCTCCAGCCAGAATGACTTTTCTATGCTCAGACTAACCATCCACCACCATGGTCCATCCACCATCCTACCACAGCATGACACCTGCCGGAGCTTTCCACACAGGGTAGGTGGACATCAGTGCCCCTCTAGGCTAAAAGGAGAGCTGCTTTCTAGATGCCTTCCACATCCTCTTAGAGAGCCAATCTTACTTCTTTCCCAGGGGCCATGGTCTCTGCCTCAGCTGGCCTCAGGAAAGACTCCCATCAAGGCCCACTCTCCGTGGCAGGAAGTCCTACTGAAGTCAGTCCCCTATCTGAAGGAAGGGGATCCCTGTCGACCTGACTTGACCTGGAGCTAGGAACTAGGATTTGAAATGGTCCCAGCCCTCACCTGAGCTGGAGCACAGAACCACCCTTGAGGTAGATCCCTCAAGCAGGTGGCCTTTTCCTGAGGAGACACACTTGCCTTTTCTAGCTTCTGCCTTGACAATTGTCCGTGAGGTGGGCTGGGCCCACTAGGCCCAGGGTTCTGCTCACTGATTGGCCTCTCAGGTTGGGCTGAGGACCAAGGACCCCCGCCTTAGATCTGCCGTAGGTCTCAGTGGGTGAGAGGGAACCACAAACCCCTGTTGTGTGCCCTTGTCTGCTCTGGAACGTAGACAGAGTAAGCTCTCAGTAGAATGTAGACTCTGGGTTGGCCACCCCTAGTAAGAGTCAGACCTCTTCAGAAACTGTAGTTCTCAAATAGATCTTAGGAAGACAAAGAAGGCCTTGGGTATTGAATTCAGTGTTCCTGGTGACTTGGCTTTAATGTTTCAGATGTTTGGGGAACAAGTTCTCCAGTTCTGGAGTGACTGAAATAACTCACTCCCTCAGAATCTAGCAAGAGAAGGAAGAACTTAAGGGCAGAAGCAATTCCTTGGGGTTCTTCCTCATGGCTGTCGTGGCTGGGGCAGGGCAAGTGGGGAAACGTGTCCATACCCTACATAATCAGTACAAAGAGTGAAGAACCAGAAAAGCTCAGGAAGAAGGGAGAGTGAGCTTTTGGTATATTCTTCTGGAAGGGAGTGACATATAACTTCTCTAGGTTTTATTCCTGGCCAGGCTAGACCCAAGTCAGGCAAATTCCAACCAATAAGCTTGAGAATAAAAAAGTATATAGCAATGGCGGATTGCTCTCCACCACAGTCAGGAATTGACATGCCTCCTATCATCTCTCCAGATGTAGCAATTTTTACCTACACTGTTCTGGAGGGCCTTGGCGTCAGATGGTTCCTAGGGCATCTGGAGATGCTCTGAGCTCCCACAGGGCCTCCATCATGTCTCACATCTCCTCAGCTGCCCAGGTCCCCTGAAGAGAACTGTGGGGTCCTATTGTCCCTAGTGGGTCTGTCTTAGCCCCTGGGATGCCCTAAAGTAACAAAGGCCTCCATGGCAACCTAGCTTCCTAATGAGCCAGATCTTCCAAAGGCACAGCTGTAGAGAGAGGACTCTACCTGCTGGGTGGTCATTTGCTGGATAGGCAAACTGAGTAAGCTGAGGCCAGCCTCGCCTGCCAGCACAGTAAGCGGCCACATCCAGTCCTGGCAGCCTGGTGTATCACAGAGAGCGGTTACGCCTGTCTCAACGCCTGCCCATCTCTCCAGGAACCCCTTCCTTCACAGCATGGGGGCCAAGACTCTGGGGCAGACAGAAATGTCTCCAAGTTTTTCTTTTAGTTTTTTTTTTTTAAATTCTTCCTGATTCTGTTCTCACAACCGTGCCTCCACCTTTAGGAAGCAGGATGGGTGAAGATTTAGGCAAAGAGGCAGCAAGATCCAGGGCTTCCCCAGCACACACTGCCATGCTCATGTTGGACACAGCTCTGACACCTCAGCTCCCTGAGGAGACAGAAAGGATTCCATGGAAACCGCCATGTGCCCTTTACACAGTCAATTGCCCTCTGGGATAGCCTTGGGCAGATCATCTCTGGGGACTCAGAGGAAACCAAGGCCCCAGGTCAATGGGAATGACCCTGACTGTCAGGTATGGAGACAAACAGACCCAGGAGAGGGAGAGTGGCAGGCAACCTTGCCCCCAGGGTGCTAACTAATAACCATACAATTTCAAACCAGGACAAGCTTCCATTTCTTTCCCTCAGGCCTCCTTCACTGCAAGGAGGCCATAGGGAAGGGATCCCACCAGACAGTATTTCCTAGCCTTCCCTCTCCTTTCTTCACCCTTCACTTACACATAGAGCTAGGCCTGTATACTACTGATTTTGGAGGACCGTTTTCAGTGTCTAATAACCTGTTTGGGTGTGCAGTGGTCAGAAAAAAAAAGAGAGAGAGAAAGAGAAAACTGAGTAAGAGATGGAACATGAACCTCAACCAAAACTCGCTGTTCTTGTAAGATATTTTAACCCTGTATAAATGCAACTTTTTCTTTAGCTTAATGGCCTGGGGTGGAACATTCAAATATATATAAATATATATATAGATATATAAAATACATTAAAATTTCAGAAAAACGCAAAAAAAAAAAAAATTGAGGTCCGTTCCATAAAGTTTTACTGCCTATACCACCATGTAACTACATTATAGCAAAATATTAAAAGAAGCATTCTTTTCTTTTAAAGTAAGTTATTGCACTTACATCTTTTGGAGAGGGGAGGAATGTGGGAAGAAGGGGGCTGATGGGCTGAGGTGGGCGGAATGCAAGGCAGAGGCAGCTGACGCTCCCAGCAGCCGCCTCGTCGGGCACAGCCCAGACTGTTTGGTTGTTGTTGTTTGCAATAAACTCCTTCCTCCTCTCAACTGGAGTCTGTCTGTTTTGTTCCTGACTTATGACAGATGAAATGTGATCAGAGAGGCCTCTGAAATCTCACGTTAATTGAAGTCGGCAAAAAAATACTAACAGTGCCCTTTTGAACTGCTGACACAGTGCAGGATGGGTTACCAGGCTAGATTAACAACAGGTGGCCAGCCAATCCTCCAGCGCAAAGAGGGGTGCATGGTCTGACGGGGTCTGGGACACACACACCCTCTGGCTCTTGAGTAGCAGGCAAGTCAGAGGGCCCAGAGAGGCCTAAGCGTGCTTCTTAGACAGTGGGATGGATCATGGGCAAAGCTTCTTGCTCCTCCGTGCCTAGTACAGACTGTGCCAGGAGGGCTTCATCTGCAGCCATGCTCCACATCCCTGATGTCCCTGAGAACAGTGCTTCTGGAGGCTGTTCTGGAAGCTGGATGAGGACCAGGGCATCAGGTCCTGTAACTCTGCACTGAGAGTACAGGGCAGGCCTCTAGGAGATGCAAGACCCAAGCCTGGCCCTGATAATGAGTACCCCGTGGTAGAAAGAGCCTTCCCAGCAGGAAAAAAAAAAATGCACAAATAAGTCTGAAAGCCAGACTCTGAGGACAAAGGATGAAGCAGACAGAGGCTGCAGGACGGGACTCAGAAAGAGGCACTGAGTCTCAGAGCAGCTAGTGTTGAGGGGCAGGGTCGGAAGCACAGGAATACACCCTGTCTCTGTCTAGTCTACCAAGCTGTGGGGAGGGTTAATGCATGCGCTTACAAGCTGGTGTGGCGAAGGGGTGTGAAGAATGATGGCTGTTCATAGCTGTTCTTCCCAGGTTCCCGTTCCAACTATCTGAACACTCTCTCAGAGATACCTTAGACTTGTTGCCTTGGGGAGGGAATTCTGTGTAGCGCAGCTGTTTCAGGTAGACCTGGGAACTTGCTTTAGGAAATGACAGCTAGCACGCATTAGGACTGAGGGACACAACAGCATTTGGACTCTCACCCCAAATCACAGAACAGCAGCTGAGGCAGAGGCAGGAAAAGGCACATGTACCTAGAAACCATGGAGTGCTGTTTCTACCACCCAGCTCTACCTCTTCCTCGGGAGTTAGGCACTTGAAACAAGGGCTGTTTCTCCAGGGAAGTGTAGCTGAAGCTTTTTTGGTTCTGGCTCCTGCAGTCTCATAGTCTCGCAGCCACTCAGACCCCAGTGAACACACAGAGGCTTATATCAATTAAAACTGCTCGGCCATTAGCTCAGGCCCACCACTGACAAGCTCTTACACTTAAACTCAGCCCATTTCTGTTCATCTATAAGGTGCCACATGATCCGTGGCTTTACCTGTGTGCCATTACATGCTGTTCTCTGGATGGCGGGCTGGCCTCTCCTGACTCAGCCTTCCACTTCCCAGAATTCTCCATGTCTGTTTATCCTGCCTAAACTTCCTGCCTGGCTATTGGCCAATCAGTGTTTTATTTATAAACCAATCAGAGCAACACGTTCACAGCATACAGAACATCCCACAGCAGGGAAGTCTGGATTGTGGGAAGATGGCTGGGTCCTACATCCCTGGTGACTGAGGGAGTCCATTCCAGAGACTGGTGCCTCTCAATACAGTCATCTCTCAGTAGTCATGGGGGATTGTCTCCAGGACCTCTGGATACCCAAATCCAAGATGCTCAAGCCCCTTCTATGCAATGGTGCAGCCCCTCCCAATCTACTTTGATCATCTCTGTATCCTTAGCAATACTCAATACAGCAGGAATGCCAGGTACACGGTATTAAACTGTACTGTTGATGAAGTAATGATAAGATGAAGTTAGCACATGCTCAGTAGTGAGGTAAACCGTCTTTACTATGTTTGTCCCTCTGTTGAATCTGCAGGCAAGGAACCTGAGACCATGAGGGTACTGACTCTACTCTCAGGGAAGAGGGAGGCTGTTGTTGACTAGGGCTCCAGCCCTGTCTGGCTACCCAACTTGGCTCACTGTCCCTCAAACTATCAGACCTTTCATTTGTCACCATCATTGGGATTGCTATGTTTCTGCCTAGAGTGCCTCTGTCCCCTCCTGGCCTTCTTCCACTAAGGGATCTCCCACTGATCCTGTGTGTTTCCTTCAGACAAGGCCTCTGTGGATCTCTGCTTAGTACCCACCCAAGCCATCTGCTTCCCGGGAGCTGTGTGCAGCATGGTATTGGCACAAACCCTAAGGGTATCAACTCTTATCTGTGCCTATCCCACACAACTAAAGACTCTCAGGACCCAGGCTGTGCTCACATTAGAGTGCAGGTTCTGAGTGAACGAAATAAGACTTGGAGCTGTGATTCAGGGTTGGGGAGGAAGGGAGTCAGTACACTTTATGTCTAGCCAGAATGGGCCGGGAATGTAGCTCAGGTGGTGCAGGGCTTCTCTGGCATGTATGAAGCCCTGTAGTTCATCCCTAGCACTGCATAAATGATGACACATGCTTGTAATCCCAGCACTTGGGAGGTGGAGGAAGGAGGATTGCAAGTCCAAGGTCATCATTAACTATAAAGCAAGTTTAAGGCCAGCCTGGGTGACATGAGACCCCAGAGAGAGAGGGAGGAAGAGGAGGAGGAGGAGGAGGAGGAGGAGGAGGAGGAGGAGGAGGAGGAGGGGGCAGAGGAAGGTGACTCAGGTCTCTGGAGAGCAGCTTGTCATGAACTCAGAGCCTCAGCTTGACCTGCTGTGTTCCTCAGGATTCCTGTACATTTGTGAAGAGCCATAACATGACAGGGCATCTGTCCCCATTATTTATTCCTCCTGGGGTCAAGCCAGCCCAAGGCTAGCTTCCCATGACAGTGCAACAAGAGTCCTGGCCCAGCAGCATTCATCTTGGAGCCTCTCCACTTAGTCTTGGGTTCAAATCCCATGTTTCAGTCTCCCTTAGATAACCCTCGTGCCCCACACCCTCAAAATCTGCAGAGAGATTTTTCCTGCCTTGGTGCCAAGCCCAGCCAAAGCTGTTTTTGCCCTGTGCCCCCTGCCTTGCTATAAGAAACCCTGCCAACCCTGGCCACCATGAGTGGGTTGGTCCCCAGACAACAGAACGCTTGCTGTGCTGGAGAGAGTGGAGTGGGGGCTAGGGGCGGAGCTCATCCTCCCATGGCCCAGATTTGCATGCTCAGCAGCTAAGGAACAATGGACCCTCCACAAATAGCACAAATAGCCAGCTCCCCCAAAATAGGGCTGACTACAGACCCTCTACGTGTTCGTGGCGAGAAGATGTAAGCCGGCGCCAGAAGACAATGGGGTGTGAGAGTTGAAATTTTCCCAGGAATTCTGTGTGATTCCAAACAGATTTTTTTTTTTCCTTTTTAGCTCAACACAGACCAACAGGCTTGAGGAAGGGCAAGCCTGCACACGGAGCTTGGGTTTACGGCCATGTGCACACCATGTGTTAAGGTGTTGCCTTGGCTGGTGGGGAGAAAACCCACTGTGATGCCTGCATGGGATCTCCCGGGAGCCCTTCAGGACATGGCTCTTAGATGTTCCAGGATTGGGGGGCGGGGTGCTGCAGGGCTCTTGCCAAATCTTCTGGGATGTCTCTTTCATTTTTTCACAAGTCCCCTCCCCCTCTCTTCTCTGTACCTACAGTGTACCTCTATTATTCCCAAGCTCTTTGGGAAAAGTAATAGGCCCACATATACCATGGGATGAGAGAAAAATGAAGATGAGAGAGAGAGAGATCAAGATGGTTGAGAGGATGGGGCAAGGATGGAGTGCAGAATCAGCCCCCATCTCCCCTCCAACATAGATTTACATGGAGAGCTCTGTCCTGAGGAAAGAAGGGGGAAGCCAGGAAGTCACAAGTGATGGATGTCAGAGCTGGTCTTAAAGATGGCCTCTGCTCTGCTACTTCAGGCCAGACACTAAAATGTTTTTGTTGCATGTCCTGCCCCCATCGACACAGCAGAGACACGGCTGTGATCCTCTCACAAGGCAGTTACGGAGTCCAAGAGTTGAAAGGTTTGGCACAGTGAGGAGCTGCAGAGACAGGCGATGCTATGCATACAAGAGCTTGCTGCCACCCAAGTGGCTAAGGGCAGGACACCAAATATAGGGGGACTGTCACCAAGTGTGTCACCAGACTATGATGTATTTCTGAGTGACTAAAGGTGGACAGTGCAGTATTCTATCTTCGTAGATGCCATAACTAAGTCCCATAAACAACAGACAGCATAAACAACAGACATTCAGTTCCTCACAGCACCAGAGGCTGGGGCCCTGGCTCATGGAACTGAAGTGGTCTATCTCTGGCTTGCAGATAGCTGTCTTCTCTTGGGGTCCTCCTGTGCCCTCTATACAGGCACATGGAGTAACACGGCTTAGCTGTCTCTTCTCTTTCTTGCTGATAGAAGAACCCATCCTCAGGGGCTCTTCATAGACGCTATCTCCAAACACAGTGGCGCTGTGGGGTTGTGTGTCAGGGCTCCTGTAAGTGAATGAGGGGCAGAATTCAGTTAATAACAAGCAGTATGGCTTGTGTGTGTTATGTCAGCCTAATTGGACTATGGGACACCTACAGGATCCCTTCAGGGTGGGAGGGGGCTTCCAAAGGAGCCTGGTGTGTAAGTCAGGAGTAGAATGGAGAAGACTTGCCCCAATCACGGGTGGTACCATGCCATGGGCTTGGAGTTCGGATAGAAAGAGACTGAAACCCTCTGTGTTAAGTGCTACCTCACATGACTAGCGTGACTCTGAGTGATCCAGTCTTCTTCCTGAAGGAAATGACCCTGGAAGGCAGAAGTTGTCTTTCACTTCGTTTTCTCTTTGTATGTGCTGCCATAACAAAATCCAATTTATAAACAAGAGGCATTGACTTCTCACAATAATAGAGGCTAGGGTCCAAGTTCAAGGTGGCAGCAGCCTGGGGGGCTGGTGTGGCACCTTCCTTCACATGGTAGGAAGGACAAACATGCCTCTCTTGGGCCTCTTTGGTAAAAGCACTAAATCCTACTCACCTCTCACCTGCCTGGTGGCACTGGAGACCCTTCAATAGTCTATAACCTGGACCAATGCCATTTTCTGATACCCATCATCTGTATCATGCTTCTGCTGCCCTTAAACAGCTGAGCCCTTGCTTACCCTCACAAAGAACCAGCTTTGTTTTGAGAATTTCCCATTCTCCAGCTCCTCGATATCTGCTCTCCATTCTCTCTGCCTGCTCAGGGCTTAGCTTGCTCTTTATCTGGTTTCTTAGGTAGAAGCTCAGAGTGTTTTAAACCTTTCCTTTCTAGTTTAAGGAAATCAAGCTGGGTCTGCCTTTTGGGATACTACTCACACATTTGGCACTTTTGATTTTTACACTGTTCAGATTATTTTCTTTGGGTCTCTATCAGCCCAGGTATTATTTGGAAATATGTTATTTAATCGCTACCGATTTCTGACTTAATTCTACCACATTCCGATAATATGTTTTTTAAAATAAAAAATTCAATTGCATTTCATTATTTGTGTGGGGGGTGCACATGCATAAATGCCACAGCATGTGTGTGGAGGTCAAAGGACAACTTGTGGGAGTTGGTTCTCTCCTTCCACCATGTGGCTCAAACTGAGGTCATCAGATTGGCCAGCAAGCACTTTTATCAACTGAACCATCTCACTGGCCCAAAGAATGCATTTATGTTCTCAGTTTTTTAAAAGTTATTGAGGCTTCCTTTGGGGGCAACGCATTTGAGATGAACACTGCATGCAGTTTTGCAAGTTGGGTCTCAGTTGTGATGGATGAAGGGTTCTGCAGCCGTCAATTAAGCCATAGTGTTTGATAGCGTTACTCAGGTCATCTATGTTTTTTCTATCAACTTGTTTCATCAGTCACTAACATTGTTGAGACACACATATAACTTAAGTACTTTGTTTTTCTTTTAGTTGGTTTTGCTTTATATATTTTGAAGTAATTATTTGTCACACACATTGATGTATTGACAAATTGGCCCTTTATCACTATCAATATTAAATGTTTCTCCTTCTCTCACATCCACTTTTTAAACTTAAATGCATCTTACTTTCCTGAGAAGAGTGTATAATTGTTCTTACTGTTTTGATTGCTGTAACAAAATACCACAGACTGTATCATTTATAAAGAGCAGAGGTATATACTTAGCTCATGGTTCTGAAGACTGACATCTTCTTGGCTTCTGGTGAAGGCCTTTTTGGAGCTTCACAACATGGCTCGAGGCACAGCCAAGGCAGATGAATTTGCTTTTATGGTAACTCCAGAGAATGAGGACTCACTCACTTCAACACTGGTACATCAGAGTTACGGTTTTCATACATAGTAAGTCCACACCACTAGCTGATGATTTCTGTAGTTTTTCACAGTGTTTAGGCCATTTACGTTTAATGTAATTATTGATATGTTTGTATTTAAGTCAAGCATCTTTCTGTTTGTTTCTATTTGTCTGGTTTGTTCATTATTTACTTTTTCTTCTTCTCTGCCCTTACATTGAGTACATTTTTGACTTTCAAAGTTGCCTTAGCAACTATGCCTCTTAAAAGTATTTTCACTGGTTACCCCACAGTTTATATGTTTGTAATTTATCACAGCCTGTCTTACAGACTTCTCAACTTTTCTTTCTAGTCTGCCACCAAATCCTCATTCTCCTTTTCTTCTCTACCTGGTAGTGACAGAGCAGGCCCAGTGCTTGGCCCTTTCTTACCAATTCTGACTCTGGATAATCTCATCTAGTCCTATAGTTTTAAATACCATCTATATCTTTAATTCTAATTTTTCTTCTGAGTACCATGTATCCAACTGTTTAAATAGTAGCACCCCTTAGATTCTAATAGGTAATTGCCTAAGGTGGTACTTTGGATTTTATTTATTATTTATATATCTACGTGAGGGTGTGTGTGTGTAGGGGGATGTGTACATCTGTGCACGCACAGAGACCAGAAGAAGGTATGGATCCCCTAGAGTTGGAGTTATAGGCATTTGTAGGGCACCTGGCTTGTTATGTAGGGGCAGAGATCCTGACTCCAACAGTCCAGATTGTGCAGCAGGTGCTATTAATGCTGTCTCTACAACCCTGGAAACACTTTTGATCTTCCCTCTTGATATTCCCATCTTACTCCAGTCTGCCATTTTTCAACAAATGGTTTCATTTAGTGGATTCAGGATGAAAATTTAGGAGTTAGCTATAAGCCTTTATTTCTTTCACCTCCCACTTTCGGTTTTTCAATAAATCTAGTAGACAGTCTAGCCAGTTTAAGTTCTTACCACTTATGCTCCCATCCCATTCCAGCCTTTGCTAGCCTTTACTTAGGAAAAAACAGCAACCTGACTTCTTTCCTTCCTTCATGCTTGCTATGATCTATTCTCTACACAGTAGCTGAAATGCTTTATTTATTTATTTATTTTGTTTCATTTATTTTGTTATGTATACAGTGTTCTGTCTGCATGTTTGCCTGTACACCAGAAGAGGGCATCAAATGTCATTATAGATGGTTGTTAGCCATGATGTGGTTGCTGGGAATTGAACTCAGGACCTCTGGAAGAGCAGCCAGTGCTCTTAAACTCTGAGCTATCTCTCCAGCCCGAAATGCTTTATTTTAAAATGCCATCCAGACTAGTCATTCTTCTGGCTAAAATCCCTCAGAAACTCTTCTTCACACTAATAATGAACATACAGCATCTTTTCAGCCTACATGGTCTTTACACCTGTAATCACCTCCCAACACACTCTCTCCCCCTCTGGATATGCCAAGGCCACATGCCAGTTCTTATGCTCACTCTTCTCTCAAGTCTGGTATCTACATCGTTTGGCGCTTCTCAAGATTTAAAGACATGCTCACATGTCCTCTCTAGCCGCCCTTCCCACAATACTTCCCCATGCCCCACTCGCTGCTGTCCCCAACACTAGCCTTCTCGTTTTCATAGTAGTTAGGGACATTTGAAATGACACTCTTTTGTACTTGCTATGGTTGCTTTCACCTCAGAATGCTGGCCTGCTGCTTGCAGGTACATTGTTATACTCAATGGAATGTCCTCCCAGCAAGGACTCTTACACATAATAATTAAAGATTTATAAACTCAATCCATCACATCAGGGTTTCCTTCTTTCCTTTCTTCCTTCCTTCCCTCCATCCCATCCTCCCTCCCTCCTTCCCTCCCTCCCTTCCTTCTCTCTTTCATTCTTTCTTCCTAATAGGGAAAAATCATTAATAATTAACAGAATAAAAACATGGGAGTGAATATTTACTTTATTCTGGTCCTTTCTCTAAAAGTAAATTAAATTTTACTGTTAGATACAGTTCTCTAAATAGACTTTGGGTTCAGGTTGGAAAAAAAGTCTCCATCAAGTGCAGACTGATTTTTTTTTCTGAGATGAGGACAATGATCTGACAGTTAGTCTCGTCCAATGGCTGAGAAGTGAGAGGGTGTGGTCATCAACCGAAACTCACATGGACAAGGCTGGGTCCTAGTCATGGTTCCTGGTATAGCTTTGGTCCACTGTCCAAAACTAAAGAAGCCAAAAACCTTTTCCGAGAGGTCCTCATTCAGGACCTTTCCTCTTTCCCAGGCTTCCATGTAGCAGGTACCCCCCAGTGAATGGCTGCCAGATAGACAGCATGAAATCAAAAGGCGCACCCAACTGTGTATAACAGATATTCATCCTTACAACTGCCGAGGCGGGTGAGGGAAGGCGAGAACGGCATTGGGGAAGATGGAGTTAATGAAACCCACGCTTGGCCATGTTGTCAAGATATCAAACCAAACTGGCGACAAGACCAAGGCTGTTAGCAGGGAAATTGCTGGGCCTGTATCCAGAAAGCCAGGACAGGGTACTTGGCGCAGAGTAGGCAGAAGGGAGATGAAGGTGAGTCCCACAGGATCTACCAGAGAAAGACTATTGGAAATCCTAGAGGGGTTCTGCCACCAATGCACAATTTTCCTTAATTTCCTCAATTGTGGCTGTTATCCCTGTAATGAGAAACACAACTTCTCTTCTAAGCAGGCAGTGAGGCTGGCAGAAAGCTGAAACCTGAAAATCAGCAGATACAGGGCTGCATACAGCCTTTTCTATTGAAATTAAGCCACTTCCAAAACACAGGGAAAGGGCTCCAAATAGCTTCAG